CAACAACCCCCAAAATAAGCCGAAAAACGAAAAATAAAACCGCACACAAATAACAACAACAAAAACAATAATAAGGGGAATAAAGAATTAATGATAATAGTAAAAAAACAAAACAAATCTTGATCTCTCTTTGCAATATAACTTCTCTGTGTTGTCAAAGTATGCTGTTATGCCTTTAAAATCAACTGAAATCAAGAAAGAAAATCATAATTATGGATTTATCCTTACAATACCTTTTTCTTGTTCTTTGATCCTCCTCCTCCTCCTCCTCCTCCTCCTCCTCCTCGATGCTAGAAGCTCAGGGACTAGACTGCTGCAAACTCGAGGTCGAAGAAGCCACCTGGACGATCTTTTTAAGCTTTTCTACGATATTTGCTGCGTCCGAATTCATAATGCAGAAGAAATTGTCTTAAAAGTGGCAATGTTCCTATTTGAGCAATTTAGATCATGAATTGAATGCACGTGGCATACAGTGATGGAGAGTAGTTGACCGACATTTATATGGTCAAGTTTTGATTTTTGATTGACAAATTAATGAAGAGATTTTTGCGGGGAAAACACCCTAATTAGGACAGTGTAAAGCAAAGAGACCTATTGTTTTAGTATTTTATTTTAGGCTTTAAAAAGTGTCATTCACTTTGGCGTTAGAGTGCATCACTTGACCTTTGAAGAGTGAGCAATAATGGATCATCCTAACGCTTTTCAGCCGGTTCCTAGCAGTGCATGGAAAGTTTCTCTGTTCATGCGGAGTTGTTTTCTAAAGTAATCCTAAAGTAATCAGGTATATTGCGGTCATAAAAATGGATTTCGAACCAGGAATCGACCGGACGAGTCCAAGATCAAGGGACTCCCATTTATCGTAGGGCGGGGGTGCTCGTAGTATCTGTTTTAACACGAATTCTCTAAAAGCACGCATTGTCTGTGTTATTATGTAAACAGCGGCACTGAAATTGGGAAATTGAGTTGAATTAGAAATAGCGGGTAAAGATGGTAATAGTGTGCAATGCGCTGTTTACATAAGAACACAATTTATACGAGGAATAAATATGTAATCAATACAGAAAGCATTAACATAATCTGGTGGTTGATTGAAAAGCTTCTCGTGTTCCATAAGCAAGAACGTATCGATAAATAGGACAAGACAAAAGTGATTGACATCGTAATGTCTTGATTGTGCACACTAAAAGCACGCGATATCTGTGTTCTTATGTAAACAGCAGCACTGCACGCTATTACCATATTTGCATGCTATTTATAATTCAACTCAATTTCATAATTCCTCGGGGTTTTATACCTGCACGGTTTTTTATACCCGCACGGTTTTTTATACCTGCACGGTTTTTTATACCTGCACGGTTTTTTGTACTTGCACGGTTTTTTTATACTTGCAAGCTTTTTTATAATTGCACGGTTTTTTACTGTGAGGTCAAAGTGCATACTTGAGACATCGCACGATGCATATTTTGCCTTCCACTCTTCATCCCACCTTTCATATGGAAGAGGCTTTGAATACTGGAGCTTTTGGTTTATAATATCCCTCACAGTGAGAGGAACGTCATTGCCAGGAACACCAAGGTCAATCAAAGAAGTAGTAACAAATGCTTTTGAGTCTTGACGATTGTCAGAAGAAGTGTTTGAATTCAGAAAAAAGTTTGCTTATGGAAGCTGATATGGATTGGGAGTATTTTGATGGTTAAGGTCTGACGTAAARSATCRAATAGGATGGGTTCCTGAGAAGGAAAGTTAAGCTGATATAAAAAGATTGAGCTTATGTGTCAACAACCAAGTTTTCGTGTGAGGATCATCAAGGAAACAGCAAAAACAGTTTCTGAAACGTTTTTGAAGATTTCTACTGTCTAAGCTTATATTTTCTTAAACTTCATCTTTGGTATGTAAAACATTAGATTTGCATTAGGTATATAAGCTTAAGCTTATATGGTACTGTTTTTAGAATATTTTGTAGGCAATTAAGGCTTAATATATATAAATTTATAAGCTGGTTTTTATGAAAGAAATCAGATTTTGCCTCTTTTGTCATAATGATGTCATTTGACCTGAACACAAATCAATATAAAACAATGGAATGAAACTAGTAGTGTTAGATATTAAAGTTGTGGGTTTCAAAGTCTGCTTACTCCAATGTTGTTATGTTGGTATAGACCATTTGCACTGATTCCCAAGAGGAATTGAACTGGAGGACAAAATAATGAGTTTTTTTCACATGAGAAAATACAGCTTATTGTTTTGGGAATAAGGGCAAAGAGTCTATTAAGAGTTAGAAACAGAAATGATAGACCATTTTGACAACTATCATATGACTGCTTCTACAGGTTAAGCCACTATATTGTTTTTGCTATGATAAACACTGGTTATCATAGTGAGAAATGTTAGCTGCTTGAGTACTTGCACTAAACTCATGAGAGAATTAATTGTTGCTAATTAGTACTAACAGCACTAATAACTACACAGACAAAACAAAAGCAAAATAGCGTAACTTAGCAATATTTTGTACTAATTTATGTTCATGGGTTTAGTGCGAGCATGCTAGGGTGTTTTAACACGGTCCTTATTCATACCATATRTGGTATCTAAMAGRTGCCAGTATAAGATCAGAAATGCCAATGCAAACTAGGGAACCAAGGCTACCGAGACAGGTCTCTCTATTAATCAATCACAGTTTGCACTGGCATTTCTGCTTTATACTGGCACCTGTTAGATACCGTAAGTGGTATAAATAAGACAATCCTTTGTTTACCTTAAATTAGATAAATAATTTTATTTATTTATTTGCAAGAAACTAACATTGCCCTCTTAAATCACCTTAGTTGCTTTAAATCGCCCTTAAAATACCCAAAATGTCATCATATTTTCTTCTTAAATCGCCTTAAGTCGCCCTAAAAAATTACCCAAAATTCCATCATATTTTCTTAAATCGCCTTAAGTCGCCTTATGTTGCTTTAAATTACGGCGACTTAAGGACCCGGGGTAGGCCTACAATTCACGTCTCTTGCTTCTTTCTCTTCAAACGTGATTTCCTCAGATGCAGAAGTGTTAAGAGTTGTTGTTTTCRACTTTTTCCCACAGAAGATCTTCTCCAAGCTAGAGGTGAGACCCTTGGAAAAGGAGAGACTAGTCATTGATAGTCATGATCTTATATCGTAAAGAATTGTAATTTGTCCACTAACCTATTCTATGAGAAGCTGGAGTATTTTCTGTATCAGTTCGTTCGGATCCAGCTTCTCCCTTTTACTGAAACCCAACTCCTTTTGTTCTTATATCAGCTGAGCCTCGGATTCCATAACACTGCAGGAGATGAGGAAATTATAGTTATGTGTAAACTASACTTAAAAAACAAATTTTTTATATTCCCTTTACCTTTTGAAAAACATTTCCTGCTTCACTGGTCAACGCTAGAACTTCAGTGAAAAATGGCTCAATCCACTGACGGATAGAAAGTACTGATACCAAGCTGCATTTATTGCCCTGTGGACTGGAGAATCCTTACRGGAAAAAACAACATTAA